GAGGGTCGTGGGATCAAGTTCTGCATTGGGTTCTGTGCTGAGCATGGAATCTGCTTAAGATTCTCATTCTCATTCTCTCTCATTCTCCCTCTCGCCCTCTCAAAAATAAAATAAAAATCTCCTGGCTTCTCTGTGACACCTGTGTGATCAACTGAACCTATAGCACATATGAAAAATGCCAACCATTTTTGCCTGCCATTTTTTTATTAGAAGTTCTCAAACTTACAGGCAATTTTGTGAAAAAGGGTTAAAGGTGGGGGGAAGGGGAGAATTAGAGTGGATTTCCCCATGACACAGTCATCAAGGCAAGCAGAATGGTGGTGAAGTTGCCACCCTATGACTAAAGAAAGGCCTCTTGGGTTTCACAACCTGATCTCAAGGTTAAATGTGATAAGGCAGTGGTGGGTCAGTCATTTTTACTCACTAGCACACTTGACACCCCCCCCACCTCGTCCCCAAATTAAAGTATCCAGTCTTAAAAAGCAGGTTCAGGGTTAAGGAATATACTTCTTGGGAGATAAAGCTTGAGCATGAGAAAGCCCAAAAAGCCACGAGGCATGACATGGTCCACCTTGAAACCCTTCCAAACCCAACATCAGGGAAAAGGCAGACAAACAGAATCAGACTTGGCACAGAAGGTTGGGGTTAGCTCCAAGGACACCACAAGAAATTGCCTCAGATAATGTTGCACTTGTACGTATCAGATGTGTATTTGAAACCCACTTTCATCTCTTCTGTACATTGCCCTTGATGAAAAACACATGCAGACTTGGATTATCCACAAAGACACAAGGACATTATTCGAAGGTCTAATGATACCAGCACATCTTAAGGTAATCAAATCGGAGTTTATAACTATGTGTGGGCAGAATGGAGGGGAAGCCATAGCTCTCACACCTCGGGGCTATGGAGCGCCCCCTGGGGGCGATTCCTTTCTGGCTGTCACCTGAAGCAGAGGTGGGGTGGTTTTCTGGAGGCCACGGCATCAGGGAGGTCAATTCTGCTGAGACATGTCCACAACCAGACTGCTTTCCCTCCCGCCTGAGCTTCCATTCCATCCAAACCTTCTGTTTAGCTTGGTGTACCTCCTTAACTGTTTTGTTTCAATCACCCTGGAAACACTAAAAAGAAAAAAGAAAAAGCACAGCGACAGAAGCGCAAGGCTTATTGGTGACTCTAGAACCAGCAAGATTTGCTGGCTGCCGGGACAGAAGTGGATGGCCCCTGACCCCTTCATCGCGCACCTGCCACATTCCGTGTGAACATGTCAAACCCTCAAGCCTGCTTGATTAATCACCCTGCCCAAGAATCTACGCAACAAAGTTCACATGACCCGAAAGCCGCGTGAAGGGCCCTCTGAGGTCAGGATACAAGACCAAACAAAATTAATATGCCTGCCACAGTCATCATCGTATCAGCCCCAAACGTGCAGACTGTGCATCCCAAGAACCTTCCCCTTCGAGGTGAATTAAAACAGTTCATGTCCAACAGGCTCTGAATCTTCCCTGCCTCTAAGAATATCACGAACCGTTTCTACAAGTCAAATAGCCTTGGGACTGCAGAATCGTGCTCCAAACAAGTCTCTAGGAACTTAGAAGTTTTTATGATTCAGTCATAAATGTTTCTTCACACACCATAAAAAGAAATTTTAATTTGACCTCAGAGTAAGGAATACATTGTTAACTTCCAGTGGTGTTCTAACTCGTTTAGATCATGTAAAAGGTACCCCAATCCCACTGCACAGAAGTGTTTCTTAATTAGTTCTAGGGAACTGATGTTCCAAAAAAAAAAAAAAAAGAACTGGTAGGATTAAATGCACATAAAGTTATAAGGTATACACTGTATTTTATATTACTGTAGGATCACTTTCATTCTGATTTTAGAACCTGCAGTGAAGATCTCAAGGGAGGTATCCTACCCATTTCACTTAGGAGAGATTCAGAGACATCATGTGAGGGGCTTGGGATCACACAGCTAATGCCTAGGCTGGGCTGAAAGAAGCCATCACACCACTCTTTTCCTCTCATAACTGATACTATTTTTAAGCTTTTATGCTACACACCTCCTATTTCTCTCAAATACTTTACCACAAAGGCTTCACCACAAGGTTATTTTATACTTTCAATCCCTTAATTCTCTCAAAAACTTTACCACAAAGATCTGCATCACAGATCATGTGACTATTATTACTGGATTTATTCATTTCAAAGCATACATTTTTAGACTCCTGGCAGTATAGGAAGTTGGACAACTAGGATATTTTACGTCCTGGTCATTTACACTCCTGTTGTCTAGAGAGAACAGTTATAAACCAGAGAAATGCATGTGATTTAGGAGTAAGGATTAAAAAGAATGGAGACAGTGTTTCCACCTTTTGGAAATTCAGCTGTTCGGCTCAGCTCTATTGGCTAAGAGTGTCCACACTGATTGTTCAAGAGTAACACAAAAATACATGTTAATCTTTGGAACATTAGCAGTGATTCTTAAATTAAAAATAAGAAAATAAATCCCTGTGTTCACAGGCCAGTAGGATTTGAAGAAGCAAGACTGATTCATCAAACAATAACCAAAAGAGTACCATGTGCCACTAAAGAATTCTGCATATAGTTTTCATATAATCCTTCCACCTGCCTTCTGAGACTTCCTAAGCCTGTTACTGGTGATGAAGTAGGGACTCTAGGAGTCACAGACACAGTTACACGATACAGCTGAGATCAGAAACAACACACGTCTCATTCCAAACATCGGAAAATAGACCACCAGTATTTAGGAATCTGGTAAATGTCAGTATTCCCATCTCTCCTTAAAAGCTAATGTTTTGAGCTCTCTATGCCATTCTTGCAACATGAAAATGTGAAACTATTTCAAAATTTTAAAAAGTTAACCTGCTATTTCTCATTGCCTTTAGTGGGAAAACAGGAAACGGTTTTCCCTAAATGGTAAGAAGGTGATGAAGGTAGGGTATAAGGCAAAGGGCTGTAAAAGGCTTCAAGGGAAGGTGGAGGGGCAAGTACTGTGTGGTAATGATCCAGACATCAATACAAATTTTTGTTCTTTCTTTTATTGAGCCAACAAATGCTGCTTCAGTATCTCCTCTGTGCTGGGAACTGGCAACATGAAGCGACTGAGAAACCTGCCCTGCAGGACTCAGTCTGGAAGGGGAAAGAGAGATCACAACCAGCAATACAATACCATATGCTGAGGGCCATGTTAGAGGCTCCTACAGGGCTGTGCAAGCACTGGGGACTGACCCCCTCCCGGGAGAGTTAGGGGACACTTTGTAGAGGAAATGACATTTATGTTGGAATATCAAAGGATCCGAAGCAATTTTCCTGACAGAGGACAGGGGAAGGACCATCCAGGCAGAGCATATTTCCAAAGGCATGGAGGTTGGGGAGATCAAGGTGTGTCTCAAATATGGAAAGTAGGTCTCTGCTAGCAGCCTGAAATGCACGGTGGCATTGGTAGAGGCAATAGAGAAATGATGCATGAGAGGTGGACAGGGACCATGATTTTGGCTCTGTCACATGTGGCCTGCATCCTGTACACTATGAGGAGCCAAAGGATTCTAGGCAGTGAAGTGATATACTCCATGATCAGATTACTTGGGTGGCTTGGTGGCAGATGGACTGGAGAAAGCCAGATAGGTGTTGAGGCGGCCAGCTGCTATGAACTCTACCCAGAAGGATGACCCTCGCAGCCTGAGGGTCCTTGGTGACCCGCTTGCTTGGCTCCCTACTGTAAAGTGACAAACCAAGGTCTGGAAAGGTTCAGAGACTTGCACAAAGTCACCAAGTCAGCCAGGATGTGCTGTAGGATCCCTTCCCCCTGCCTAGACTGCCAAAGAAAATGACAGCTCTCAAGGCTGGGATTCCTAGGAGTGGTGACAAGTTTATCCACTTGAAAAAGACAACAGAAAGGTTAGAGAATAACAGTTGGTGAAAGAGTGAAGAAATATTTTTACATTGGGCTTGGATTCCTGCTGTCATTCTGTACCAGAGCAACACAGCTTAGCTGTTGAGTAAAACAAACCAAACAGACAAGGGAATTGAGACGAAAGTGCTCAGCCACTTTCTAAATCAACCAATAATCAAATCCTGACTGTTCACACACACCGAAATTCAGAGCCATGAGCAAAGTCCTTTTTGAGTAGCCTGATTAAGTTTTTTTCTAAGAGCAGAGGATCACTAGCTATGTTGTCTAGTTTCTTTTTTTTTGTCTAGAAAGAAAGCCAGTTAGCAAGACAATATTTCATCTATAGAAGTACTATTCACGCTCAGCCCCCCAAAATATCCAAAGTAAGCCGCTTTGGATTTCCACTGCCGCTCAATTGAGATTCTAAGCCAAATACCTTGGCCCTGGAACTTGAGGACAGAGAATTAAGTCTGTTCTCTGATTTTGAGACAACTCAAATCTCTAGGTGAGGCAAAAATGCTCAAAATCTGAAAAGCCCAAATGCCCTCCTCTAGCCCACTCATAATTTCATTCCAAAGAGGGTGATTTAAACTGGAAACTCATTTTCAGGATAGAAACAGATTTTCAGACCCCTGCATGCTTTCCCAAAGGGCCCTTGAGACTTCCTATCTGTGCATGAAGTGGTAGGGGGTCAGCAGGAGCCGCGGCCGCCATCCTCCTCAGCACTGAGTCTCTATTTTGAGTTAAAGTGAGTAGCAGGCCAAGGAAGAAAGGTATCTGTGTTATTCAACACCCCATTTCATACTGTACATACCAAACTATTAAAAGAAACAAAGCACATCATGTCTTCAATTGGTTACAGATGGGAGAGAAACAGCCACAATAATAAATTTACGGAGGTGGAGTGTGTCGTCACACACGTTGCCAGGATGTGTGATCCAGAAGGTGTGTGCGGGGGAGTTAATACCATATGTCGTTTGACTGCTGTGGGCCTGCTCCCATGTCAATAGCATCATGTTCCTCTAAAACAGCGCCAACACCATCCCTGATGCCACGGCACCCCGCCAAACCAACATGACTCTTACCAGGTACTGAAGTCGCTGGCGCTCAGTCTCGGGGGTAAATTCTGAAGACATGGGGATGATTTCTCCATTTCTGATGATTATGGCCCTAAAACGGTTAAAAAATATGCACTGTTAGTAGGCAATCTTGTAAGTACCTTAATTTTATGATAACTCCACAGCTTGGTTTAGAAGACCCATGAAATACTCAAGGGGCACTTTTTCAAACAACCTGCGTGGCAATGTTCATTGTTACCAACTCTGGGTCCCTCACCAAAGGAAATATACGGTTATGTTTACTTCTTCTGCTAGCTGGAACCGTGCCTTAATGCCCAGCACCAACCTTCCTACTTGGCACATAATAGATGCGCTCAGGAAATGAGTGGATGAAATGAATGATGTAAATTGAGGCTTACTCTAGACTAGTGCTCTCCAACAGAACTTTCTGTGTTAATGGAAATATTTTAATCTGTGCAGTCCAACATGGCAGCCACTAGCCACATCGGGGCCATGAGCACCTAAATTATGGTTAGTTCAGCTGAGAAACTGAATGTTTAATTTTACGTAATTTTAATTAATTTATCTTTTAGTTTAGGTAGTCACAAAGTGGCAAGTGTTTCATGTAGTACACAGTACAGCTCCAGATCCTTGTTTCACCCAGTGTCTGTGGGCCAGTAGCGTTGGCCTCACCTGGGAGCTTATTAGAAATGCGGACTTCCAGGTTCCACCCCAGACTTAGTGTATCAGAATCTTCATTGTGATTCATAGGTATATTAAAATCTGAGACCGCCTGACTTAGACTCCTGAGTTTCTAGGTAGTATCCTGGGTCCAGGAAAAAACACTCTCATCTCATCTTGAAGCTTAGGAAATTCACACACTTCCAAAAATTGGCCCAAGATCTACTGCTGACACAAGAGTTTGAGGGAACAGAGATCCCCAAAGGAGCGATCTACAGGAGGGGCTATAGCAGAGATAACCACAGAGCAACCTTTCCTAGGCCTCTTCCAGATGGAGCTACCTGTTCTAGACCTTCTTGTTCCAAAGTAGTTCCTGACAGCCACTTTCTAACTATCAGTTGGTTGAAGTGGCTTGGGAATTACATTCTATATGAACCCAACAGCTCCAAGTACCAGGAAGCCAGAGACTTGGAGACTGAACACACTTCTCTGTGAAGAGCCACAAGCATGGAAAGTGCCTTTGATGAGCTCAACTCTGGGAAGCTGCATCAATGACTCTAGGGTCAGCTGCATCCTTTGTGCCAAGAAGACCCAGGCACCCCTCCCTCCTACCATAAAGGTAGTCTCCAGGGGTGCCTGGGAGGCTCAGGTGGTTAAGCATCTGACTTTGGCTCAGGTCATGATCTCATGGTTCATGAGTTCAGGCCCCACATTGGGCTCTCTGCTGTCAGCACAGAGCCCACTTCCAATGCTCTGTCCCCTCCTCTCTCTGGCCCTTCACTGTTTGCACTCTCTCTCAAAAATAAACATAAAAAAAAACTAGAAAAAAAAAAAAAGGTAGTCTCCAACACTGAAGCTATCCCTATAAATGGCTGCAGCTCTCCCTCAACTCCTCACCAGCTGTTCCCAGTTGTTGCTGTCATAGAGACTGGGAGGGCAGGTAAGGGAGAGGATGACAACAAAAATAATGGGGGCTTTAGAGAATTACTGGGTCTAAAATAAAAACCAGTGGAAACTATGAGAAGATGGAAAATTTTAGGGGAGTTGACTGGGAAGAAGATGTAATATTTGTATCACGTTTTTTATTATGACACCAAAAATAGGACAAATTAAAAGTTCCATCTTATAAATCTAGAGTCACTTGTAAAATGCAATCCCCCCTCCCGAGAAAGGTGCTATCCATCATTTACAAATCAAACTTCCAGAATAAGGGAGTAAGGGTTTTGATAGAGGATGGAGAGACTTGGAGAGCTTGAAAGGAAGGTCTAGGTTAGGGCCTAATCTGGATGAGAGAGAAAGTCATTAGGTAATAAATTCCAAAGGCAACCTTCTATTTCAAAATTTTTCTTAAAGCTAGTCTTAACTCTTGCTCTTCCCTTTTCCTACGTGGTCCCTGAATTCCAGCTTCCAGGCTGAGACTAGAAAAACTGGCTATTGGGGAGGGAAGTAAAAGGTAGTGAGTAAAATGGAGCACCTGGTGGCTCAGTCAGTTAAGCGTCTGATTCTTGATTTCAGCTCAGGGCATCATCTCATGGTTTGTGAGGCTGAGCCCCATATCAGGCTCTGTGTGGACAGTGGGGGGTCTGCTTGGGACTCACTCTCTCTCCCCCTCTCTGGCCCTCCCCTACTCGTGCTCACTTGTGCATGCTCTCTCTCTCTCTCAATATAAATAAATAAATAAATAAATAAATAAATAGAGTGAGTTACACTTGGGTGGATGAAAGATGTATCCAGAGCAAAGGCCTCAAAACTTTTCTTAGTAACAACATTATCTATAATTGTGTAATTGTATACAGTACAGTCTTGACCCTCAAGAATCCATATGCCTTCTCACTGGTTTTTACGAAGAGACAATGGACGTAAAATAATGTCATTCTGGCTGGGTCACCACTAAAAAAGAGTGACTTGAAAGACTAAGTGAAACTAGGCAGGACCCCTGGCCCTAGTGAGCAGGGAGAGAGAACACAGCAAAGGCAGCAGCCACCCCTATGTTTATTCTATTTTTAAAATTCCAAATTCACACACAGTGAGGATCAGCATTCAATTCCAATGTTCACTGCTGGGTGAACCCTAGCTAATTACTTTCTTAAATAGATTTTTATATCCAAATCCATCTATGTACAGAGCATTCTTCATTTCTGTTTGAACTACCAAGTTCTTCCTTTATGAGACACCCATGGATTAAAGATGACAGCATGTTTGGCAGTCAGACTTTCCAGTCCCTAAACTATGATGCCTCTTCCTATGCTTCCTGGCTTCCTTTTGATCTTTCTGTCTTTCATCCCTCTGATCTTGGGATCAATGTGTCAGAGTGCTGGCCTCCAATCTGGAGTAGGGTACTAAGAGGGAATGGGTTTCAAAGGGAACAGAGTGCGTGTGAAGGCTGACAAATCTTGCATTAAACAACCAATAAACTAGAGAAATGCTTTAAAGCTACATTCTGTCATCATAGGATCCTTGTATACTTTGTATCTTCTACTTCAGTATATTATGATCTGTTTTTCCTAAGGAAAATTATTTACAACAAACAGGAGAAAGTTGTGGCAATAGTAAGAATCACAGAGAATTAGGCATTTGCCCTGGCCTTTCTAACTGGGCCCTCAGATCTGGACCTGTAGATAAGACTATGGTCAGATTTTAAATGGCATTCCATTTACTTATTCAGAGATTGGTCAGAGATTAAGTGAGGAAGCTCCTAGGGGCTGGGGTAATTTAACCAACTGGCAACAACTTCCTACCTGGTATCCCCTTACCATAGGGTCAGGGGAGAGGGGGTTCTAAGCATATTCCCCAAAGTTAAAGTTAGCCTTTCATTCATAGAGATTGAAACTTAAATTTACATGCTTTAATTTCTTGTCCAGTATCATAGATAGAGCATTACTTGTAACATGGTGATTGGTGAGGTCTAATGTGTTCTTTGGAGACACCTGCAAGCATGGGAGAAGAGGAGGTAAGCGGAGACATTAACAGCTTTTTAAATATCCTCTCACCCTCTGCAAACACTTGCCACATGAGAAAATAAAAGTGATTTATTGCTAACTGATGAGAATTTTGAGTTCAGTGAGCAATTTCTTGAAAACCTTGCTACTTCTGTCTTCTAATGTCAGTCTGGAGTCAAAAAGACCTACCTTTTCTCCCCCAAGTTAGTCAAATTGTTAATTGATCAAGAAAAAAATAAGGGGTCACATGAGATGCTCATTTCAAATATCCACTGAATTTTACAACTTTTCTTACAGGGATCACACCCACTCCCATGAAATCCCACCTTCCAGCAGGATTGACACTCTCCAGGGGCATTTGACAAATATGCAAAGGGGGTAAAAGATATGATTAAGCAGTTGACAGAAGGGAAAATGCAAATGTTCAATAAACACGTGAAAAGATGCTCAATCTCACTAGTCCAGGGAAACACAAATTAAAGGTCGCATATAATTTTTGCTCATCAGATTGGCAAATGTTTGTTGGAAAAGAAAATGAGGAATGTGTAGTAGTTCTCACAGCGCCAAGAAGAAAAAGCCATTCTCATAATTAATGGGAACGTAAACTGCTATACCTTCTAAATCTATTATAATGACATAGTCAATGGCTCAATCATCCTACTTTGGAGACTATGTTCTACAAAAACAGAAGATTCTGTCCATAGGATACATGGACAAAAATTCACACTTGACATTATTTGTGGCAAAGACTGGAAATAGTCTATCAAAAGGGGAAATACTGAATGGATTCATTTATAATCAGTAAGATATTGCACAGTCATTAAAAAAAAAAAAAAAAAAGTATGTTTTGTGACCTGGAGGTATCCATGATGTGTTGTTAGGTGAGAAAAGCAAGTTGCAGAGTACTAGGTGGAATAATCCCATTTTTGTAAAATCAAAACCTATACACAGACACCACATATATGAGGATTCTGATCCCCGGCCCAAACCCGGTGTGCTCCTATAGGCTCCAGTGCAGGCGATGATGAAGGTGGTAGCAGGCAGGGGCCCCCAAGCTCCCCTGCAGGAGAGCTGTGCTCCAGAACCAGACCTGTGCACACCCAGGGCACTACAGTGTCTGTGGGAGCAGCAGGTAAGGGCTCCACCACCCCCCACCTCCCACCCCCGCCGCATTTACAAGAGCAAATCTACATTGGCGGCAGCCCAAGCAGCCCCATGGGAGGAGTCCTGGCTCCGGCACTTTTGTACTTTTCTCCTTTCTCCATTCTGACTCGGTACTTTTCCACTCAGAATCCTTTCCCTTCTCCATCCCCCACACCACCAATCCCAGGCTTAAAAGGCAGAGGCCTTTCGTCCACAGCTCCTCAGCAGTGAGAACATTCCCTCCTGTCCGTGCCTCATGTCAACTGACCCTCGCTTGCCCAACTGCCCTTCGGTGAGGAAAATGGAACACTGAGGAGCTGGCACTTGTCTTTTCCTTCGCCTCTTGGCT